ATGGATGCTTTTGTTCCTCCAGTGATTCCTCGCTATGAGGATCCTTACCTCAACCCTTACTACCTGCCACCTCACGATGGAGGTTTGACAACTATCATTTCGATGAAGCTAACTGACCAGAATTACAATCTCTGGAGTCAGGTAATGGAACTTGCTCTTAGTACTAAGAACAAGCTGCAATTTGTGAATGGATTGATTCCTGTACCCCAGATGGGAGATCCCATTTGGCAGTCTTGGCACAGGTGTGATAGCACTGTGCGTTGCTGGATCTATAACTCCCTTTCAGATGATATAGCAAACAGTGTGGTTCCTTACAAAGTAGCCAAAGATGTGTGGGATAATCTGAAAGATAGGTTCAGCCAGGCTGACAATATGAGGGTTTATGAATTGAATGAGCATATTAGGAAGTGTGTTCAAGGAAATCTTACAGTTACTCAGTATTACACTGCTCTGACAACTAAATGGCAAGAATACAAGATGTATAGGCCAGTTTCATGCTGTCCCTGCCCAAATAGCCCTTTCTTTACAATTCAGAGATACCAAGAGCATGATTTGATCATCAAATTCATGCAAGGCCTTAATGATGTGTTTCAATCAGCAAGAACACAGGTATTGATGAATGCACAGCTGCCTCCCATTGAATCAGTTTTTAAGCAGATGGTTCAACTGGAAAGACAACTGAAAGGGTTACAGTCTGAAAAAGGAAGAGTGGAATCAGTTGCATTGATGGCTGGACAACAGTCTAAGCAACAGAAAGGTACTCAAGGAGGCAGAAATCCTAGAGACTACAAAGATGGGAAGAAGTGGTGTAGGTTCTGCAAGAAGGAGTACCACACTATTGAGGAATGTTACAAGTTGAAAAACAAACAAAGTAGAGAAGGAGAAGGTTCTTTTGCTGGTTCAGTAGAAGTTACTCCATCAGAAGGTGATGGCTCTAATGCTACTGGTCATGGTGGAGGAAAAGGGGAAGGTGATCTTCTGAGTTTGCTCACTCCCAACCAGTTTGAACAACTCAGAACTCTGCTTAATCGATCACCATCTGCATCACCCTCTCCTCCTAATTCTCCTGGTGTTCAGCATTCTGCAGCAGTTGCTGTTAGAGGCTCACAGTCAGGAAAGAAACCAGCTGGTTCTCCCTCTGTCTCAACACAGCATTCCCATTATGCATCACACTCTTCAGGTAAACAAGTCCTTTCTTCTGTGGTTGAATCATCTCGTGGCACAGTATGGGTTTTGGATACAGGGGCAACAGATCACATCATATGTGATAAAAGTTTCTTCATGAAACATAAGCCCCTGAATCAGGTCTTTGTTAATCTGCCTAATGGACAACAGGTTCAAGCCACACATATAGGGATAGTTACTTTGCCTTGTGGATTATTCATAACTCAAGTCCTCTTTGTTCCTTCCTTTGCTTACAATTTAGTTTCTGTAAGCAAGTTAACCAAAAATCATCCAGTCTCATTGACTTTCAAATCCAACTTTTGTGTCATCCAGGACCTTATTACTCGGAGGAGGATTGGTTTAGCCCAAGTTGATAGAGGTCTTTACCTTTTTACTGAGTTCAAGGGTCAACAGTTTGGAGTTTCTAAGGATTCACAGAAGTTTGCAGCAGCAGTGTTCAATTTCCAAAGCCAAGATTTTAACATCTGGCATGCTAGATTAGGACATCCATCTTTGTCTAGACTAAAAGTTGTGAAACAAACTTGTAATGAGGTTTCTCTTCCTTTGACACAGCATTGTGAAACTTGTCACTTAGCTAAGCAAAAGAGGTTGCCATTTCCAGTAAGCACCTCAGTTAGTTCACAAGTTTTTGAGTTGATACATGTAGACATTTGGGGGCCATTAAACACTGTTTCCAGAGATGGTTTCTCTTATTTTCTTACTGTATTTGATGACCATAGTAGAGCAGTGTGGGTTTTTCTTCTCAAATCAAAGGCTGATGCCAGGCCAACACTTCAATCTTTCTGTCTAATGGTAAAGAACCAATTTTCAGTTTCAGTTAAAACCATTAGAACAGACCAAGGCCAAGAGTTTCACATGACTGAGTTCTACTCAGCTCATGGTATTGTTCATGAAATGAGTTGTGTTTATACAGCACAACAAAATGGGAGAGTTGAGAGAAAACACCAGCATTTGCTGAATGTGGCTAGATCATTGAAATTTCAATCTGGTTTACCTTTGACCTTTTGGGGAGATTTTGTTTTACATGCAGCCTATCTAATTAACAGGACTCCTACTCCTATCCTTAATCACAAAACTCCTTTTGAGGTACTGCATAAGGTACCACCAGATTATATGAACTTGAGGGTTTTTGGTTGTCTGGCTTATGCCACTGCTGTAGAGGGTCATAAGTTGAAGTTTGATCCTCGATCCAATCAATGTGTCTTTCTAGGCTACCCTCATGGCATTAAAGGATACAAATTGTTGGATCTTAACACAAACAAAGTGTTTGTTAATCGAGATGTGATCTTTCATGAGCACATTTTGCCTTACAAAACTGGTAAATCTGCTCATGACTCAACAGAAGATGCTCCTTCCACTTCTGTTCCAATGTCTTCTTTCTGTCCAGGAGAACCTTCTTGTTCTGGTTCTTCTCCTGTTTTTGAGCCTGACTTGACAGATTATTCTTCTCCTTCTGTCAAAACCACACCCCTATCTCCTTCCCCACCAGGCAAATCTGCTACTCCTTTTACCAATAATGATGTTTCAGATACCAGTTCTGCTTCATCTGATTCATCACCTCCTCCTGTTCCTCCTTCTTCCCCACCAGTAGTACCTCTTAGGAAATCTACAAGGCAAACAACTTTTCCTAAGAAGTTTAATGACTTTTATGTGGGTTTGAATCAAGTCAGTATTGATCCCAAGATCCCAATCCCACCAGACCTGGCTCATCTTTCACCAGAGCAACAGCATTTTGCACTGATCCTTGCAGCAGCTTTTGAGCCTTCTTGCTATGCAGAAGCAGCTCAGGATTCCAGGTGGAATGCAGCCATGATTGAAGAGTTAAAAGCACTCTTTGATAATGATACTTGGGACATTACTGACTTGCCAGGGGGAGTTAAGGCAATTGGGTGCAGATGGGTTTTCAGGATTAAGTACAATCCAGATGGTTCAATTGAAAGATTTAAAGCACGTTTAGTAGCTAAAGGATATACACAAATCTATGGTATTGACTATTGTGATACCTTTTCTCCTGTAGCAAAGTTGACCTCAGTTAAAATGTTGTTAGCTGTGGCATCTGTTAACAGTTGGCATTTACATCAAATGGATGTTAACAATGCCTTTTTGAATGGAGAATTAGAAGAAGATGTGTATATGGAATTGCCTGAGGGAATGAGAGACAAACCTGAGTATAAGGGGAAGGTGTGCAAGTTGAAGAAATCACTTTATGGATTAAAGCAAGCTAGCAGAATGTGGTATGCTAAGCTAACTGATTCATTACTGGCTAATGGTTTTAGACAGTCTAAATCAGATTATTCAATCTTTTTGACTGATATAAGAGGACATCTTGTTATCCTTATTGTTTATGTGGATGATATTGTTGTGGGAAGTGAGGATCTGGATGCTGTTAAAACTGTGAAGAACATGTTAAAGTCTTTGTTCAAGATGAAGGACTTGGGGGAATTGCAGTATTTCCTTGGTTTAGAAGTTAACAGAACAGCAGAAGGAATTCATGTGTCACAAAGAAAATATTGCACTGAGTTGTTAAAAGAAGCAGGCTTTGATGAGTGTAAACCTGCAAAGACACCTTCGAGTGTTAAACAAGTGCTTTCAGCTGCTGATGGTGAACCCTTTCTGGACATCAGTAAATACAAGCATCTGCTAGGGCAGTTGCAGTATTTGACAAGCACAAGGCCTGACATCAGCTTTGCTGTTCAGCAACTATGTCAGTTCCAGGACTCTCCAACTTCAGTGCATTACAAGGCTCTACAAAGGGTTTTTAGATACTTGAGTAGTTCACCAGGACAAGGTTTATTTTACCCTAAGAATTCTGCTATTCAGTTGACAGGTTATAGTGATTCTGATTGGGCTACATGTCCAGATTCAAGGAGATCACTAACAGGGTTTTGTGTGTTCTTGGGAACTAGTTTGATTAGTTGGAAAACAAAGAAACAGAGTACAGTTTCTAGATCCTCTTCAGAGGCAGAGTACAGAGCCTTGGCTCAGTTGAGTTGTGAGTTGCAATGGCTGATGAGATTGCTTTCAGACTTTGGAGTAAAGCATTCCCAACCAGCTATGGTGTTTTGTGACAACCAATCAGCAATACATATTGCTAGGAATCCAGTCTTTCATGAAAGAACAAAGCACATTGAGGTAGACTGTCATGTTATTCGTGAAAGACTGATGAATGGTTTGATTGATTTGAAGCATGTTTCAACAAACTTCCAACTTGCAGACATCTTTACCAAAAGTCTTGGTATTGATCGTTTCAATATGTTGATGGACAAGCTGGGAGTTTCTGCACGATCCTCGCCAGCTTGTGGGGGGGTAATGGAGATATGAACCAGAAGCAGTAGCAGCTGAAGCTTGAATGAAGAACTTGTCCTGAGTCTGCTACTGCTGATGGAAGCTGCACACGAAGAACACAAGCCCAGAAGAAACGGTGGCGTTTTGCTTTAATCCAGGAACTGCTTTGGAGCAAAACGCAGTCGTCTCCTCTAAAGAAGAAAGAGATGTGCCAACACGACGCCGTCCTTCTTAGTTGCCTGTCGTAGCGATTTGGTTTGTGTCTTGCAGACACATGTTGCTTTGTTATTGGTTCGTTTTCAATTGTTAGTTAATTACTGTAGATTAGCCGTTAAGTGTTCTGGGTTTGTAAAGGTTGCTGGGTATATAAATGAGAAATCGAAAATGAAGATCTCAAGGTTTTGAGACCCTTCACCAAAAACCTAGCCGCTTTCTTCTTTTCTTCTCATTCTGGATGGCGATTTTTGATTCCTGGGTTTTGGCAGTGTGGGATTAGCCAGGAATCCGGCGTAGCAGAGCTGGTTTCGGCTATGGCGGCCGGCTGGAACGCCAAATTCACAGTGGAGACATGGTCCCGCGGCGGGCCGGTGGCGACCAGCATCGGCCTCGCCGTCGCCAGCCGTCACTCCGGCGGGCGGCACGTGTGCGTGGTCTCCGACGAGAATTCCAGATCGGAGTATTTGCAAGCACTGCGTCAGGGTGGCGGTGGGAATTCGATTAATATTCTTCCGGCGGCCAATCAGGTGGTGGTGGGGGAACCGGAAGAGGTGATGCAAGGGATGGAGGGGATCGATTTCCTTGTGGTAGATTCGCGGCGGAAGGACTTCGCCAGGGTGCTGAGAGCGGCCAAGCTCAGCGGCAGGGGAGCGGTGCTGGTGTGTAAGAACGCTAGTTCGAAGCAGGCGACGAGCTTTCGGTGGCGGAGCGTTCTGGATGGCGGGTCGACCAGGCGGTTGGTCCGGTCGGTTTATCTTCCTGTTGGGAAAGGGCTGGATATTGCACACGTGGCAACTAGCGGTGCGGCGAGCAGTACCGCCGGCGGCGGGCAGAGTAAAAGCAGCCAGAGCAGGTGGATCAAACATGTTGATCGAGAGTCGGGGGAGGTTCATGTTATCAGAAAGTGAAGATTTTTGGGACTTCTTTTGATGAACTACAATAAGGGGGAAGAAAAAGTGACTGCTTTGAGTATGTACAAAAGTGGTGGTTAACAAGATTTACTGTAATTTCTTTCGTTTTTTAACCATTAGATGGTTTTTGCTGACCATAATCAAGTTGGCTTTTTACTGTGTACATTACTGTTTTCAATTTGAGGACTAACTATGAACGAGGAGTAGTCTGGCAATCTCATAAGTTGGTCAGCTTTGCTTATCTCTCTTGTTGTTGTTTGGTTTCTTTTTCTTTTATATAAGGGTGAATGCATCTACAAAATATATAAAGATAAAACAAGTGTTGAAATTGTCTCATTTCAAATTTTGTGGCCTGAAAGTGATTTTAGGAATGTCATTTTTGTTATTGTACCCAAATCATCTTTATATGTTAAAAATGTTGTCATTGGAGTTCAAACTTTGGTCACTTGATAATTGAAGAAAGTGGATTATAATCAACTAGACCACATTGTATTTATTTTTATTTTTTTATTGAACTCTAGAAGTATGTTTGGTGATGATGCTTCTACATTTATATTTTGGCTTAAGTTATTTATATTTTATAGAGAGAGATTAGTTCTGGAATCGGAACTCAAGTAATATTGGTTCAAACATTAATATTAAATTGTTTGTGCATTTTAGTTTCGACAAAATAAAGAAGTATATTTTACACTTTATAATACTTAATTTAATCTTAATATTTGTTATGTTTGATTAAATTCTTGATTAAATTCATAGCTGAAAAGTTTTTTTTTACTACTTACAGGAATAACAAACAACGTCAACAATAATTTTAGAAGCAAGTAAAGTGAAGAAAAAATTGAGATTTAGTATCTCTTTGCAAATGTGTGTGTGTTTAGAGGGGGGGGGGGGGGGAGATTTTTTCGGTCTAAAATTTTTGAAGAAGAGGTTAAAACTCATATATAATTTGTTTAAATATTGCATATTGAATTGGAGTATTGAAGATTTAGAAGCGATATATAATTTTTAAAGTAGTATTAATTTTCAGTCCGGTTGACCAATAGCCTTAGACCTCTTGCTAATATGACATGATTGGATCCAATAATCATAAGATGAGATTTAGTTTTATATGTCGGTTCATAACCATTTTTGTGTGTAATGAATTTGTACGAAAAATACATGTAAATCAATGAAGATAAACTTGATTATGCATTTTGATTCTTTAGATAACTAAAATTGTTTAAGAGATTAACTAACTATACACTCACTCGATTAGTTTAACGAGTTTTGTTTTTATCACTTTTAGTAATTAGTTTATTCACGTGCTATCAAACTACTTTGCTCCGTCGAAGAATAAACGGTCATATATTCATCAGGTTTCAGGTGCTCTGATTCACACTATCGACTGTGAATGGAGAAGAAGTATTTCCAGGTTTCTAGGGGGTCGTTTGGAAGTTGCGATTGTTAAATAGATGTATTGTTGAGAATGCATGTATAATATTATACATGTATTGTCGAATTTGATGCATTGTAGAATACAACGTTTGATATGTGTGATTGTGTATGTCGCATCAGCTAAAAGCTGAGACAAAACAATCTCAACTCAACTATCTCAACAATCACAACTAAAAGTTGAGATATAACAATCACTGAAAATGAGTGATAGTTTCTGTCACATCATAGAAAACAATCCATGTATTGTTTCTGCTAAAAAAAACAAAAAAACGATGCATTGTAAACAATACATGCATAATGACAATCTCAACAAAACAATCGCAACTTCCAAACGACCCCTAGGTTTCTCTCGATTCCAGAGAGTGGGAAGAAAGAGGAAGGGAAAGAGGGAGAGTGGTGAGATACAAAGCTGAGAGAAAGATGGAAGAACAAAACGGAAAAAGAAAGAGCAAGGCAATGAGAGAGTGAGATGATACATTTAAAAGAGAAGGAAAATGAGGTAGTGTGAAATAATTGTTCTCATGCTTTGCTTAGTGAGTATTGTTGATCATGTTATGTTGAATTTTAATTTATTAGAGGGATGCCATTATATTTGACAGATTTTTTCCATTTCAATTTAAAATCCTAAATCAATATTATCGTTTGAAATTTTTTTCCTTAATACAATTATTGTAGTTTCTGAGATTTAAGAGGTATTCGATAATATCAATATTTTAGTGATGTTTTATTTTAAGTTTGAATTGAAAGATCGTACGTACCGGCGGTTCGATCATAAAACTTCACACCATAGACTAAATCGGTGGTGATATTTAGCAATATGAAACGGTTTTTTATGAATGATGAAAAATTCTATTAGAAAAAAATTGCTAGCAGCTCAACCAATAGCAGAGAAAGCTAGCAACAATAAAAATAAAATAAAATAAGCATTCTCAAATTTAGGTACAAAGACAAGACTAGAACAGAGAGAGAAAAAAAAAAACAAAACAGCAAAACGAAACAAAACATAAAGAGAACGAAGATCAAATAAGGTGTTTTGTCCCGGTCGTCACCCACTCGTGAAAGAGTCCATCTGGGATCTGACTACGAACTCTTAGCCACCGTCCAACCATACGAACAATCTTGTTCCCGATCTCTTGTGGGGAGGAATCAACATCTCTAAAAATTCTATTGTTTCTCTCCAACCAGATGAACCAAAGTACTGCATGGGGCAACAACTTAATGTATTCACTGAACCGTTGATCACACCACAAGCCTTGCCAAGCAATGAGGAAATCACGAGTGGAAGGAGGGTAAGGGCCATGAAGATCAAATCCTTTTCTGAAGCTTTCCCAAATCGTAACCGCAAATGGGCATAAGAAGAAGATATGTGAGATCGACTCCTCATGGCATTTGCAAAGAATGCACCAATTCGGAATAATCATCCCTCTTCTTTTCAAGTTGTCCAAAGTAGAAATATTTCCATGATAGACCATCCACATGAAGCAACAGATCTTTGAGGGCACGATAGGAATCCAAACTAACTTGAAAGGAAAAGCAACGTCACCCCCAAAGTTATTCTCAATAAGGTTTACAGCGAACGAATGTACCGAAAAGACCTCAGAGGACTCCAAAGGCCACACCAAGCATGCATGTCCTGTGGTGATCCATAGTTGCGGAAGATCACTCAAAGTTTGCATCAATAGGACACGTTCTGCTTCAGCGCCCCGCCTTGGAGAGACAGAGAGAGGAATCTCCCAAGACCTATCAACCATAGAAAACACGTCAGAAACAAAAGCATCCAAGGATTGGGCAACTGACCCAACCCTTGGAAAATCACTCACCAAAAGTTTCCCAGGAACCCAAGAATAATGCCAAAAAGATACCCCATAACCCCCACCAGGATCAACATAGGCAACCTTCCAAAAGTAAGAGCTTTCGTTAACAATTGCCCGCCACAAAGAACAGCCATATGTACCCAAATTCCAACATGGTCTCCACTCGGACCTACCCTGACCACACTTTGCAACAATCAACCTCCTCCACCACAAATTTCTCTCAACTCCAAATCTCCAAGCCCATTTCCCCAACAAGGCTCTCTCATACTCCTGAGATCCAAGACTCCCAAACCGCCTCTAGTGATTGGAGTCTTCACAATATCCCATTTGACCAAATGCAACCGTTTAGTCTCAAACACCCCTGACCATAAAAAGTCATTATAAATCTTCTCAAGTAAGCAATCATCGAGGTTGGAGCTCTAAAAAGGGAAAGGAAGTAGATAGGAGATTAGAAAGCACACTTTTCAAAAGCACCAACCTCGCGCCAAAAGAAAGCATCCTAGCCTTCCAAGAAGCTAATCGAACTTGCACTTTGTTAATCATAGGTTCCCAAACTGACAAAGAAGCTGCTTTGGAACTCAAAGGCAATCCTAAGTAGGTAGTCGGAAGAGAACCTAACTCGCAACCAAAAATGTTGACAAAATGTGATGGTTCTCTACGTTCCCGACCACCATCATAGAACTCTTGTGCAAATTCACTTGTAGACCTGAAATTGTTTCAAATAGAGCTAAGACCGTGAGGAGAGAACGAACCTTATCTTCTGATGCATCACAAAATAACAATGTATCATTGGCATAAAGAATATGAGTGACTTCCCCTGTTCTCAGTCCTTCATTCATAAAGAATCCCTCAACCAAACCGTGAGACTGTAAAGTCCTCAAAATGCCAGATATAACCTCCATCACCAGTAATTGTGCCAAAAACTCTTGAGTGATCTCCATCTCCATCCCATTCACATAGAATGATAAGCAATGGACATTATTCTTCTCAGTATAATGTAAGGCGGTTGTTGTAGAAACATTGTACCATTTGACACATCCATTTTAACTAGAGATAATTAAACAATACCTTACTAAGGAATATATATGAAAGGTGTTGTTCTTTATCTCTATCAATCCAAACTACACAATTTAGCACTATACCCGTTTCAAGATAAATTCATGACACAATGTCTCCCCTTGGAACAATATACCTATTTCAACAATATTAGATCCAAACGAGCCATACGAATGGTTCGTCGCCTTCGAATTTCGTAACAACGTGTGGAATCTGGAAGCTGCAGGGGGCAACTCCGCCTACCAGAAAAATCGCTAGTTTGAGCCTTGCTTTACCAGTGCATGTATGCTGGTACTGGTGTTTTTTTATACTGGAGGTCCTACAATCACAGGCATATAATGATGGTCAAGTGGGAAGTGAATGATGAGGAAATCCAAGACTAATGAATCTAAACGTGAAAGAGGGACTCAAGACGAAATGTTGAGAGAGTGATTAGTACTTGGTAGCCCTACAAGTAACGATAATCAGGCAGTCAGTCCCAACTGTCTCGACCTCTTCTAAAAGCTTTCTTATCCGAGATAACCTTCTTGCTTTTCAATCTCTTCTGCTCACCTATGGCAGCTCTTAAAGCCCCCAAAACACGTAAGGAAACAAATGCGTCACTTTTCTTCCATATCAAGCAGACTGCATCAAGATAATTGAAAATAGCACTTACAGCTTTGCAATTTTCTTCTTCTGCTCTTCTGAAGGAGGTGGTGGAACATAAGAAGCGGCATCAATGATTGCCTGGTCAATTTTATGAGAACAAAAGCAAGAACAAACAGTTTGATTAAATTGTACTCTAATGTAGACCTTATTTGTTTAGATTATGACCAAATTCGGGAGAGAATACTTCATTACCTGCAGTTTTGCCAAAGCATCGTCAATATTACCCCTGAGGACAAGTAGCAATGAGATAAGTGCTTAAGAGTTTAGACAATAATAAGCAGAGGATGGAAGAAATGACTGCAAGAAGAAATCTAATCATCAAGGAATCAGAAACTAACTTCTGAGTCCTGGTCTTTGTTGAAGAGATGACAATTTCACCATCTTTGTTGATTCTGTTCTTTTCCTGCCGTACAAAGAGAAATATTATCTAAACTACAGAGAAGGCTACAGGAAAGAAATCAAGAAGAACAGTGGAGCAGCAAGACAATCAATTTATTAACTAGTTACATCTAACCATACTCAACAATGTCCTCACAAGAAGTCATGTAAAGCAGATTCAAGCAATTATAGGAGCCCAATTAATAATTTCCTATGTTCTTATTTCCCTCTCTCACTCCAGTTTAGCTACTGATCTTTAGTTGGACTAAGATTCAAAATCCATATATACTAGATGTTAGGTTTCACATTGTGTTTCCGTGTCATACGAGTGAAGGAAGCAGAGGCAAACCGTTTGGAATATCTTCTCCCTGATCCTCTCACTTAGCCAGTATGCATTCTTAACATTGAATCGCATGTCCACCTTGGTGTTCACTAAGAAAGGCAACAGCAAGAGAACAAGGTTATGTTTAGCTAAGCACCCGAAACACATCTGATTTCGAGTGGAGTGAGCCTGGAGACAAAGTTAAGCTGAAATACCTTTGTTCACATTCTGACCTCCAGGGCCACCACTTCTCGCGAAGCTAACAGCTACATGGTCTGTATATGCGTCACAATTCGTTCATTAGGACCACTAATAACATTGCAAATGTATCACAATGCCAGGAGGAGGACGATTTTGGACCATTTCAATTGAGACTGCTAAACCATATAGTAACAAGAAATGGATATCTTGAAGCCAAGCCGCACGCCATTATAAGACGCACTAATCATACACATAGATTAGGGTTAAGCAAATGAAATGAGATTCTAGGGTTTGCCTACTGGTCTGGTCATCGCTAATCTTGAATTCTTGATGGATGCCACAAAAATGTGCAGCGAAGCAATCACCGAATCGAGATAGTATCAGGGAGAAAACCATAAATGGATCGAGAGTTTCCTGGAAGTACCGAGAGTGATTCGAGGAGTAGGTTCGTCGCTGGCGAAGCTAGCCCGTTCGTCGGCTTCATGGAGTAGCTGCTGAACTTGCGATAGTCGAGCGGAGACCTTCTTGTCGTCGGAGGACGCTGCCGCGCAGATGAACTTGGCGGAGCTGATTTTCCGATGGGTGAATTGAAGAGCGGTGGAGCTCAACGGCGAGAAGGACAGCGGCGTAAAGGAAGAAGAATGGAAATGGCGGGAATTGAAAGCTCGGAGAATCATGCTGGTTGTGGCTCTAGCAACGGCCATCCTTTTTCCCCAATTTTTTCTTCTACTCTTTTTTTGTGGGCGTTTCATTTTTATACCTCTGGTTCTAAATTCTAATGACTCTTATCAGAAAGGGCGCTTAATAAATTGGTTTTACACCTCTGGTTGTGGGCTGGCTACTCTGAAAAAAATCCCAAAATACTCTAATTATTAAAAAAAAATCCTCAAATACAATACTTATAAACTTTTTTCCCAAAATACAGCAGTTTCAACATCACTGTCTTTGTCTTCGACAGTGATAATGATCACCGCTAGTCCAAAACGGGAAAGGTATCCCCGCTTTTGACAACAACGGGGAACACATCACCGCCTTGGACCACAACAGTGATCACCTCACCGCTTTTCTTTGAAACGGTGATTACATCATCGCCGTTGACAAAAACGGTGATAATTGATCGCCTCACCGCTTTTATGGGAAACGGTGATAACATCATCGCCGTCAACCAAAACGGTGATAATTGACCACGTTCTAGAGCCCTGGTAGGTGGAAAAATTAGGTCACAGCGACCTAGCTATCACCGCTTTGGACAACAGCGGTGATGTGTTCACCGCCATTGTCCAAAGCGGTGATTAGCTGCCCTTTTTTTCTATAAATTCCCACGCCCACTTCCCTCCTGCCTTACAGCAAATTAGTACAAAAATCCCTGTTTTTTTAGTTGTTTTCTCAGCGGGTTTGGAGTTGGTTTACTGCTCAAGAAACTCGTCGGGATTCGATATGTTAGAATTATGTATTGTTTACATTTTGATGTGTAAGTAATTATATGTCTGTATTTAGTGAATTGCGGTTATTAGAAAATATGTTATGATATATTTAGATTAATTATGATATGATAGATGTTAGTTAGTTAGTACTGAATTTAGATTAATTTGTTTAGTTTTCTCATGATAGATCGGGATTGAGTATGTTATAAGTATGTATTTTTTACATGTTGATGTGTTAGTAATTATATGTCTGTATTTAGTGAATTGCGGTTATTGGAAAACATGTTATGATATATTTAGATTAATTATGATATGATAGAGGTTAGTTAGTTAGTACTGAATTTAGATTAATTTGTTTAGTTTTCTCATAATAGATCAATTAGTTGCATTTTATTATGGGTTTGGATGATATTGTTTTTGTATCCATAATGTACTAATTATATACTATACTTAATTATTATAAATTGCAGACATGGGTAAATTTAAGAAGTTTCGGCTTATTATTTGGTGGAATGGTCGGGTGACAAACTCGAACATTGGGATCGACTATGAAAATGGCGAATCCCGTATGCTAAAAATTGAGTCGAGATTCTCGTGGCAAGAACTCCATGACATTTGTGCAGAAAGGACTTGTACGGGCGGGCAAAGGAGAGTTGGTCAAATTACTTACCGGTATCCCAACATGAGTGCTGACGGAATCATGTACGAAAAAGTTGTCATAAATGATGATAACGCGGTGAACATGATGATACAGTTCATATCTGAGAACGGAGTGCGGCTTGCAGAGGTGTATGTCGAGACCGAGCCGGTCGGTGAAACTCATTCTCACCAGTATTCTTATGATGATGGTTTTGCAGGAGGGTATGGCTGGGGTGGTAGTTCAAGTAACTACGGAGGAGGTACTTCTGCAGGAGGGTATGGCTAGGGAGGTACTTCAAGCAACTACGGAGGAGGTAGTTCTGAAGGAGGTGTTGGGTGGGAAGAATACCCGCAACATTGTGAGACTGCCGCCGATATCGTTCAGCCCAACGGTGATCAATGGCCTGCTTGGGGTCCAGAGTGGGCTGACATTGAAAACACCCTTCGATCTGGGCGTACTTCGCATGACCAAGAAGACGATGCTGGTTAATTATGCTGGTAATGATGACCATCCTGAGCCGAGCTATCCATTCGTCTCCAGTGACGATGAAAGTGAGGAAGATTTGAGATCAGTCAGTGAGGAGGAAGATACGGACGATATCGACGATATCGATGACAGAGAGGTGGCGTTCCGTCAAGCACCAACGTCTTACTACACAGAGGTTCCTGATCAATTTTTATATGGTCAGAACGATGCCCCTGACTTTCGGCCCATGCCTGTGTATAATCCGACTGCTAATTTGGAAGTGGGTATGGTGTTCACTTTGAAAGCCGATGTGCAAGATGCTTTTAGCGAAGAAGCCATGCGGCGTAACTTTGAATGGAAGGTAAAATATTCTGACAAGGGACAACTGCCTGTCATTTGTAAGAATGCCGGAGAGGGTTGTATGTGGCAACTTCGTGCTGCATATATGAAGAGAAAGGGCGTCTAGGTCATGCGGACAGTAGAGAACAACCACAGATGCTCCTCAACCATACTTTCACAGGATCACTGGCAACTTAAAGCAAAAAAAGTGGCAAGAACCATTAAGCACCTAATCGAGGCACAACCAGATATCAAGATAAAAGCTATCATGGCCGAGGTGAAGGATCAACATTCCTACACCATAAGGTATAAGAAGGCGTGGCATGGGAAGCAGAAGGCCATGGCTGAGGTCTACGGTGATTGGGAAGACTCGTATGCTTTACTCCCTAGACTAATGTCCGCAATGGAGGAGTCCAACCCTGGGACGGTTTTCTTGCCGTGGTACAACAACGTACAAACTGAAGATCAAGTTCGAGTACAGAACGAGTTGATGTTTCATCGTCTATTCTGGACATTCAAGCCATGCATTGACGGGTTTCCCTTCTGCATGCCAGTGATTCAGGTATATTACGGACTCAAAATATTGTACTATTTCATTACTTTACTAATTTCAATTTTTACTAACTCATTATTCATTTTAACAAGTTGATGGAACTTTCCTTACTGGGAAGTATAAAGGAACTCTTCTTATTGCCACTGGGGTTGATGGAAATTTAAGTATTTTTCCCTTAGCATTTGCATTAGTTGAAGGGGAGAACAACCTAAGTTGGGCATGGTTCTTTGACCAGCTACACGCCCACGTCACACAAAGAATGGGTATTACAATTATATCGGATCGACATGCCGGGATTAAACACGTCGTCGGTGGTTTTCCCGACGAATGGGGATGGACATGGCGCTGGTGTATTCGTCACTTCCTAGCCAATTTCCAACACAAATTTGGCAAGAAGAAAGACATAAGAGATCAATTGTGGAGGGCAGGTAGTAATGTAATTCAGTGCTTGTTCATGGTTTATTGTTCAAATGAAATTTCTTATGGCTTAATTATTAATTCTCCGGTCTTGTAGCGGTTGCACATCAACCAAAAAAGTACGAGCAGAAGATGAAGACGATCCGTCAAATACACCGGGCGGGAGCAATATGGGCAGAAGGTCAAGATCTGCACATGTGGACATTTCACATGGACAATGGGGCTAGATTTGGAATTGCAACTACCAACCATGGCGAGAGCATAAATGGAGTCTACAAGGACATTAGGGCAATGCATGTATCTGTCCTAGTGGAGATGACATACTGGAAGGTAAACGAGTGGTTTGTGAAGAGACGAGATGCTGCTATAGGGAGGGAGCGTGCTGGTCATTCAATAGCGCATCATATATTTGATGGCATGCAGAAGATCGAAGAGAAATCAAGTAAGCACAGAGTTGTTCTGTTCAACCGCAATGAAGGTATTTTTGCTGTGCAAACAGGTATTTGGGGTGGAGGAAGACTTGGGCATAATCGTCAATCCGTTACTCTACACGTAGAAACTCGCACCGGAGAGTGTACATGCCAAAAGTATCAAAACAGAAGAGTACCTTGTTCACATGCAATGGCAGTAGCTAAGTCGATAACCCTCAGCGCTTACAGTTTGGTTAGTCCTTACTACATGGAACAGGCGATCAGGAACTCCTACTCGTCAAGTTTCAGCCCCCTGCCGGATGAAGCTTATTGGCCTGTAGACAATGGGAAGTTGATTATCCCACCGTTGCACTTAAAGCGCACCAAAGGTCGTCCTAGGACCGAAAGGATTCACAATGAAATGGACCAATCACAACGTGCCCGACGGGGTCCAAAGTGTTGCTCAAAGTGCAGACAACCGGGTCATGACAAGAGGCGTTGCCCAGGTCCACCTCTAGAGCAAGATTTGGGGCCAATTCCGAACCAACCTTGATGCTACTGTTGTTCACTTCCTTGTTTTAATCTTGTTGAGTCATTTTCGTTGTTGTGATGTTTAAGTTGGACTTCTTGTTTTAATCTTGTTGAGTCATTTTCGTTGTTGTGATGTTTAAGTTGGACTTCTTGTTTTAATCTTGTTGAGTCATTTTCGTTGTTGTGATGTTTAAGTTGGACTTCTTGTTTTAATCTTGTTGAGTGATTGTAATAAAGGGCGTTTGTTGTTCATTTTGGTACAACATGGGGGGTAAAACTAAACAAACCCAAACCAAATTTAGACGACATAGATAGTTCATGGAAAACAACACAATCCGAAACCAAATTTAGAAACATAGGTAGTTCATGGAAAACAACACAATCCGAAACCAAATTTAGACGACATAGATAGTTCATGGAAAACAACACAAGACCAAACTAAATTAGAACGACATAGATAGTTCACTGGTTGTCTTCATTTCCCTCCACTTCCCCTTCTCTTCCTCTTACTCTTCCTCCACGACCTCCTCGGCCCCTTCTTCTGCCCTCTCTACCTCCTCCTTCTTCACGAGCCCGCTGGACAACTGCTCGCAGATTCCTCTTAACCCGACCACCCACCGGAGTGTAGACAGGTGGTGGGGGTGGAGGTTGCTGAGATGGACCAGAAGCGTGGTAGAAAGTCGATGATGTACGTTGTTGTTTCGGGGTCTGATACTGAGTAGTTTGTTGCTGATGGTGGAAGTGAGGGGTGCCTTGGGTGAACATGTCATGTTCCTGAGTCGGGGCATAGCTTGAGGACCCTCCGGTGCCCTCAGTACTAGTAGCCCACTCACAATGTGGCCATGGTTCAGGAAGTTGAGTTTGTTGAGACGGACGAAGCTCTTCAATGTTTTCTCTCACCCTTCTTCTGCTCCTCCGTGGGGGCTCTTCTGGGGGCACGATCCTCTCATCAGCACGGAATGAAGGTTGGGCCGGAGCAGGCATTG